AGTAGTAGTAGTAGTAGTAGGAGTTGTGGTAGTAGTAGTACCAGTAGTAGTGGTAGTTCTAGTAGTAGTAGTAGTAGTCGTCGTAGTAGTAGTAGTAGTAGTAGTAATAGCAGTAGTGGTAGCAGTAGTAGTAGTAACAATGGTCGTGGTATGAATAAACGTAGTATAGTAGTAGTAGTGGACATAGAAGTAGTAGTAGTAGTAGTAGTAGTCGTCGTGCTAGTAGTAATAGTAGTAGTAGTAGTAGTAGCAGCAGTAGTAGTAGTCGTAGTAGTAGTAGTCGTCGTCGTCGTAGAGTAGAAGCAGTAGTAGTAGCGGTAGACTTAATGGTAGTAGTAGTAGTAGTAGTAGTAGTAGTAGTAGTAGTAGGAGTAGGAGTAGTAGTAATAGTAATAGTAGTAGTAGTAGTAGTAGTAGTAGTAGTAGTAGTAGTAGTATTAGGTAGTAGTACTATGTAGTGGTACACTATTGTAAAATAAGATAGTACCCGTCGTAGTAGTAGTAGTAGTAGTAGTAGTAGTAGTAGTAGTAGTAGTAGTAGTAGTAGTAGTAGTAGTAGTAGTAGTAGCAGTAGTAGTAGTAGCAGTAGTAGTAGTAGTAGTAGTAGTAGTAATATTGGCAATCGTAGAAGTAGTAGTAGTAGTAGTAGTAGTAGTAGTCGTTGTCGTAGAAGTAGTAGTAGTAGTAGTAGTAGTAATAGTAAACAAGTCGCCGTCGTATTAGTAGTCGTCGTACTTGAAATCGCAGTTCTTGTTGTAGTTGGAAAACAGAATAGTAGTCGTAGTCGTAGGGGCAGCCGCAGTAGTGGCAGAAGTAGCAGTAATAGTAGTAGTAGTAGTAGTAATAGTAGTAGTAGCGGTAGTAGTAGTAGTAGTAGTAGTAGTAGTAGTACTACTACTACTACTACTACTACTAGTAGTAGTAGTAGTAGTAGTAGTAGTAGTAGTAGTAATAATAGTAGTAGTAGTAGTAGTAATAGTAGTAGTAGAAGTAGTAGTAGTCGTAGTAGTAGCCGTAGTAGTAGACGTAGTAGTAGTCGTAGTAGTAGTCGTAGTAGTAGTCGTAGTAGTAGCCGTAGTAGTCGTAGTCGTAGTGGTAGTCCTAATAATAGTAGTAGTAGTAGTAGTAATGGCAGTAGTAGTCGTAGTCGTAGTAGTAGTAGCAATGGTAGTATTATGACAGTAGCAATGAAACGACTAGTCGTAGTGGTAGTAGTAGTAGTAGTAGTAGTAGTAGTAGTAGTAGTAGTAGTCGCCGTAGTAGCGGTAGTACTAGTCGTCGTCGTCGTTGAAGAAGAAGTAGTAGTAGAAGAGATAATAGTGATAGTAATGCTGATCATCGTAGTTCTAGCGCTAGAAGCAATAGTAGTAGTAGTAGTAGTAGTAGTAGTAGTAGTAGTAGGAGTAGTAGAAGTAACAGTAGTCGTCGTAGTAGTCGTAGCAGTACTGGTAGTAACCGTGATATTAGTAATAGCAACAGTAGAAGTAGTCGCTGTAATAGTGATAGTAGCAGTAGTAGCAGTAGGAGTAGTAGTAGTAGTAGTAGTAGTAGTAGTAGTAGTAGTAGTAGTAGTAGTAGTAGTAGTAGTGGTAGTAGTAGTAGTAGTAGCAGTAGCAGCAGCAGCAGTAGCAGTAGCAGTAGCAGTAGTAGTAGTAGTAGTAGTAGTAGTAGTAGTAGTAGTAGTAGTAGTGATAATGGTAGTCGTTGTCGTCGTCGCCGTAGTCGTCATCATATTACTAACTGTGACAGCTGTCGTAGAAATCGCGAAGGTGGTAGGAATGTTGTGGTGGCGGGAGCAGAATTCCTGATAGCCATGATAGTAGTCGTCGTCGGCGTCGTTGTCGTCATCGCCCTGTCGTAGTAGTAGTTGTAGTCTGAGTACTGGTGCTATTCATCATGTGATACTGTTCGTTTTCAATTCTTCTCGCGGGGTAGCTACAGCTTACGCCGGGGCACCATCCAGCGCGGCTGCAGGTCGCGAACATGTCTGACCTGATGTTTCGATTGTCGAGTGAGGCCCACTGACATCTTGCAAGGCCTTGCTTAATTTCAACGTCCTCCTGCTCCTCCTGCCTGCGGTGTACAATCTCCCACGGTGTCTCCCGCGGTTTCTGTTGTTCGGTGTTTGGTGTTTGAGGCTGGTGTGTTGGGGTTTCATGTTTGGTGCTTGGGGCTTGGGGTATGGTGATTGGGGTTTGGGTTTGGGTGTTTAGGTTTTTCTCCGAACCATCCTGTGGTGTTGGGTCCCCGTTTTGAAGAGACAGCGTCCAGCGTCTCCCTCCTCCCCTCCCCCTCTGCCCCATTGCGGTTCAGTGCAGCGCTTCATGGCCCCATAGGGAGTCCCGCCGAAGGCCTCAGTGGCGGTGCTCGCGTGCGATGGCCCCACCCAGTACAACGCTTCGGACCCCATAGGGAGCTCCACAGAAGACCCCTGTGGCGGTGTTCGCACGCGATTCCCCACCCAGTTTATCACTTCGTGGCCCCATGGGAAGTTCCACCGAAGGCCTCAGTGGCGGTATTCGCATGCGGTTTCCCTACACAGTACAGCGCTTCGGAACCCCATAGGGAGCTCCACCGAAGGCCTCAGTGGCGGTGTTCGCATGCGTTTTCCCCACACAGTACAGCGCGTCGTGGCCCCATAGGGAGCTCCACCGAATGCCCCAGCGGCGGTGTTCGCATGCAGTTCCCCCACCCAGTACAACGCTTCGATGCCCTATCGGGGGCTCCACCGAAGGCATCAGTGGTGGTGTTCGCATGCGGTTCCCCCACCCAAAACGTACATCGTGTCGTGACCCCATAGGGAGCTCCTCCGAAGGCCTCAGCGGCAGTGTTCGCATGCTGTTCCCCCACCCAGTGCAGCGCTCCGTGGCCCTACAGGGAATTCAGCCTGAAGTCCCAGTGGCGCAGCCCGCATGTGGGCGCCACCTCCGTTTCGGCACACCCCTCACACGGTTCGTGATCCCATAGGGAGGTCCAACTGAAACCCCACTGGCGCAGCCCGCATTTGGGCGACACACCCGTTTCGGCACACCCCTCCACACGTTCGGTGGCCCCATAGGCAGCTCCACCTAAGGTCTCAGTGGCGCCGCCCGCATGTGGGCGACACCCCCCTTTCGGGACACCTCTCACACGCTTTGTGGCCCCACAGGGAGCTCCACCGAGGGCCTCAGTGGTTGTGTTCGCAGGCGGTTCCCCCACCAGTACAGCGCTTCGTGGCCCCATAGCGAGCCCCACCGAAGGCCTCAGCGGTGGTGTCCGGAGCTCCACCGAAAGCCCAAATTGCGGTTTTCGCATGCGTTTCCCCCGCCCAATACAACGTTTCGTGGACCAATGAGGAGCTTCACCGGATGCACCAGTGGCGGTGTTCGCATGCGGTTCCCCAGCACAGCGCTTCGTGGCCTCATAGGGAGATCCACCGAAGGCCTCAGTGGCAGTGTTCGCATGCGGTTCCCCACCCAGTACATCATTCCGTGGCCCCATTGGGAGCTCCACCGAAGGCCTCAGTGGCGGTGTTCGCACGCGATTCCCCAACCCAGTAAAACGCTTCGTGGCCCAAAAGGGAGCTCCACCGAAGGCCTCAGCGGCGGTGTTCGCATGAGTTTCCCACACCCAGTACAGCGTGTCGTGGCCCCACGGGAAGTTCCACCGAAGGCTTCAGAGGCGGTGTTCGCATAAGGTTCCCCCACCCAGTGCAGCGCTTCGTGGCCCCTTCGGGAGCTCAGTAGCGGTGTTCGCATGCGATTCCCCCACCCAGTGCAGCGTGTCGTGACCCCGTAGGGAGCTACACCAAAGGCCTCAGTGGCGGTGTTCGCATGCGGTTCCCCCACCCATTGCAGCGTCTTCGGGAGCTCAACCGAAGGCCCCAGTCGTGGTGTTCGCAAGCGGTTCCCCCACCCAGCAAAACGTTCCGTGGCCCCATTGGGAGTTCCACCGAAGGCGCCAATGGCGGCCCCGCCCCATTGCGGCGCACCCCTCACATGTTTCGCGGCCCCGTAATGGGCTTCACCTAAAGCCCCAGTAGCAGCGCCCCCATGGCAGCCCCACCCCATATCGGCACACCCGTCGCTTGCTTCATGGCCCCAGGAGGAGATGCCCAAAGGCGGTACCCGCCACGACGGAACTCACAACTGCATATGGTTGAGTCTGTCAACAAGATCATTGGTGTTTGGGGTTTGGTGTTTGGGGCGAGGAGTGTTGGGGTGGTGGGGTTGTGTGCGTTTGTTTCACTGTTTCCGATTGGTTTTTGGAAGGTGACCTGGAGAAAGAACCCTGCTTCCGGAGAAGAGATTTTGGCCCCCGATGGAAAAAACGCACTCCCGGGCGTGATCGGCTATCGGTCCCATATCGGCGATCAGTGGGCCACTGGGGGTAGATACATCCCCCTCTGAGCCTATCCCCCCCGACGTTGCCCCTCAGACATCTGGGAGGGGACGGTGGGGAAGGACGCGATCAGCTTGCAGAGACACAGTGCACTACCAAGAGGAGCAGACAACAAGTACACAAACACAAACGTTCGGAGATCCGCGAGGATTTATGGGATCTGCGCTCAAACTCCCTGGCAAGCGCCTCCGGCGCCGCCCCATCGGCGCGCCGAGGAGGGGGGTCCAGCGCCGACCATCGAAACTGCTGGGACCTCCGAAAAGGCATGCTTATGTGTGCCACATGCAGTAGCTGTTTCTCCTTCGACTGCCAGCAAGCATTGGGGGAACAGGAATGCACAGATTTCGGACCAGAATCTCAGGTAGGACCCAGCCGTGGCGGCGAGGACCTCCCAGGAGGCCCCCCAAAGGCGAAAACGAGGGGACGGCACAAGTAGCGGCACCGGAACCCTTTCTCCTCCGGAGCGCGGCCTCCCGGGACCTCTCCTGGGGTGCGTGCGAACCCACGTTCCGAGCAGAATCCCACCGTGGCGACGAAGGCTCTCCGGGACGAGCGGCGGCATCGGTCTCGTGTCCTCGCTGCGCCGCCAGCATCGTGCGGCACAGCGGCGGCGAGGGCACCTCTCCCGCACCACGTCCGCCACGGCGAATCTGCCGGCGCGCATGGAGACCGCGGCGGCCGCGCTCAGGGCCTCGGCGGGCGCCGCGGGCGTCTCGCAGGGGGCGCGCAGGGCAGGCGCCCTCCTGGCGCAGACTCGCACCTTGCCCTGCCGCCCGTCCTCCCCCGCCTGCTGCTTGCCCTCTGCCTCCTCCTCCTCCGCCCGCTTCTGCGCCACCGTGCACCACCTGCCCAGGAATCCCTCCCCTCCTCCTCCTCGTGTCCTCCTCCTCCTCCTCCTCCTCCTCCTCCTCCTCCTCCTCCTCCTCCTCCTCCTCCTCCTACTCGTCCTCGTCCTCCTCGTCCTCGTCCTCCTCCTCCTCGTCCTCCTCCTCCTCCTCCCTTCTCCCCCCCCAGCCTCTCTCCCTCCTCCACCCCCTTCCCCCCCCATTATCCCCGTCTGGATCCTCCTGCTGATGCTCCTGGTGCTCCTCTGCTGCTGCTGCACCTTCTTCTCCTCCTCCTCCTCCTCCCTCCTCCTCCTCCTCCTCCTCCTCCTCCTCCTCCTCCTCCTTCTCCTCCTCCTCCTCCTCCTCCTCCTCCTCCTCCTCCTCCCACATTCCTTCTCCTTGTAAAAAAATCCTCCCTGTCGCACCCCGAGGCCAGTTTTATGGCGGATCGGGCGTTTCGCCCGAGACTTCCTCACCATTTATGATTCTGAAACTTAAAAAGTGACAACAGCTTCACAGATGGAGGGCGTGTCGTTTTCGACATGTGGCTCTCGCCTGAGCGCCGCGTACATTCGTTTTGAACATTTGCAAGAGCTTCACGGATTGAGGGTGGCTGGTTTTCAAAATGCGGCTCTCGCCTTAGCGCTGCGCACAGTCGTTCTAAAAATGTGCAAGAGTTTCACTGATTGAGGGCGGGTCGTTTTCAAAATGCCGTTCTCGCCTGAGCGCCGGATTGAGGGCGGGTGGTTTTCAACATGTTGCTCTCGCCTTAGCGCCGCGCGTGTTCGTTTAAAAAATTTACAGGACTTTCACGGATTGAGGGCGGGTCGTTTTCAAAATGCGGTTCTCGCCTTAGCGCCGCGCACAGTCGTTCTACACATTGCAAAAGTTTCACGGATTGAGTGCGGGGCGATTTCAAAATGTCGCTATCGCCTTAGCGCCGCGCACAGTCGTTTTAAACATTTGCAAGAGCTTCATGGATTGAGGGCGGTTCCTTTTCAAAAGGTGGCTCTCTTCTTAGCGCCGCGCACATTCGGCTTATTGTAAAAGATGCAAGAGTTGCAAGGATTCCCATGGTCAACGTACCAGAAGCGGCGTTCTGTAAGAATTCAGGAGTATGTGGGCGCAACAGTTGTGTTGATTCGGTGCGTTGAAGTTTCAAACATGGCGTTCTGGCACGATTCTGGATCGCCAAGACGCAGCAGTCAGGATGATACGTGGCGTTGAAATCCAGAGAACAATGCTTTGGCACGCTTCAAGATATTCAAAGTGTTGTCTTCCAACGAGGCAGTTGCCTCAATGGAAACGAACCCTTGTAGGGGCCTATGAAGGGGGAGCTTGGAGGTAGGGTTAATTCCAACATCGTCGATGACTCGTGGGCTTCCACTGGTCCTCCTCCTCCTCCTCGCACTGGCTGCACGCCAAGCCAAAATCCTCGACCTGGGAAGCCCCGAGGAAGAACGCGATAGAGAAAGAAAAAGAACAGGATCGACCCACGAACCCAGAAAGGGGTTGGGAACTGCGAGGCCCAGGTACGATCCAAGCACCTCAGCTGGGCGATGGGCAATTGCAATGCAAAAGATCTCAATGGTGATGCTAGTGTGCCGTGGAGCTGTGTTGTGCTTCTCTGCGCTGTGCCGCGCCGCACAATGACGTGCCAGGCGACGCGCGACGGATCGTGCCAATGGACATCAGGGGACGCGCCGCGCGATGTGCCAGAGGGACGCGCCGCGGAACGTGCCAGGAGGACGCGCCACGGAACGTGCCAGCGGACGTGCCAGGGGCCGTGCCAGTGGACGTGCCAGGGGTCGCGCCGCGCGACGTGCCCAGGGGAGGCGCCAGGGAAAGTGCCAGGGAACGTGCCCGAGGGTCACGATCCCTCGTAAATTAAACTGGGCGATGGGCGATGGGCAGTGGCAGTGCTGAAGATATGCATGGTGATGATACTGTGCCAGGGGCTGTGTTGTGCTGCTCTGCGCTGTGCCGCGCCGAACAATGACGTGCCAGGGGACGCGCCACAGAAAGTGCCAGTGGACGTGCCAAGGAACGCGCCGCGCGATGTATGCGGCAATGCCGAACATATCGATCGTGATGTACCGTGCCAGAGGCTATGGTGTTTCTAGTGCTGAGGTAAGATGTGCAATGCCGCGATGACATGCGTAATGCTCGGTAGTGCTGTGGATCAACTCGCCCTTGGAATACCAATCCTGACCGAACTGATCTGGATCTTAAGCCCGAGCTGTCTGAGCGAATAGCTGGCCCAAGGTTGGATGCACTCGAAACGTTCTGGACGCTCAATCAGCTAGAGTTCAAGATCCGATGCAATTCCGAAGCGGGACAAGACGACACGAGGCGCAAAACACATGGATGCGCCACGGGAGGTGCCAGGGGTGCCCTGGGGGATGCGCCAGGGGACGTGTCAAAGGACGTGGCAAGAGACGCGCCACGGAACGGGCAAAGAAAGCGCTTGGGGACAATGTTCATGCGTGTCCCGCTCTGGGGCGTGAAGGACCCGCTCTGGGGCTTTAGGAGCCCACGTGGTTTCACGCTTGTCCCGCTCTGGGCCGTCAGAAACCCACGTGTGTGTCACGCTTGTCCCACTCTAGGGCATTAGGAACCCATACGTCTTGACGCTTGTCCCGCTCTGGCGCGGCAGGAACCCACGATATGTCCCGCTTGTCCCGCCCTGGGGTGCCAGGAACCTATGTGTTTTCACGATTGTCCTGCTATGGGGCGTTTGGAAACCATGTTTGTCTCGCCCTGGGCCATTAGAAACCCACGTATTTCACTGTGTTTTTCCGCTCTGGGGCGTCAAGGACCCTAGTGCTTTCACGTTTGTCCTGCTCTAAGGCGTTGAGAACCCACACGTGTTCGTACTGATCTCGCCCTGGGACGTTAAGGACCATAATGTTTTCACGTTTGTCCTGCTCTGGGGGGTGAGAAGCCCACGTGTTTTTACGCGTGTCCCTCTCTGGGGCGTCAGGAACCCACGTGTCTTCACGCTTGTCTCGCTCTGGGGCGTCAGGGACCCACGTGACGCTTTGTCCCGCCCTGGGGCGTCAGGACCCCCATGAATTTTCACGCTTGTCCTGCTCTGGGCCGTTAGGGACGCACTGTGTTTTCACGCTTATTCCGCCCTGGGGCGTTAATTGTGTGTTTGACGCTTGTTCCGCTCTGGGCTGTTAGGAACCCACGCATTTTCACCTGTGTCCTGCTCTGCAGCGTCAGGAAGCCATGTGTTTGCACGCTTGTCCCGCTCTGCGGCGTGAGGAGCCCACGTGTTTGCACGCTTTTCCCGCTCTGGGGCGTTAAGGACCCGAGTGTTTTCACAAGTGTCCTGCTATGGGGCGTTAGGAACCTATGTTAGTTTTCACGCTTGTCCCGCTCCGGGGCGCTAAGGCAGTCTACAAAAACACGCGTAAAACGCAAAGGAATTGAGCCCCAGGAGAAGAGCATTCGATTAGACAAAACCAGCGTTTCGCGTGAGACAAGCGCTTCGCTCGAAACATCCGCAACAAACGAATGTTCACTGTATATGTTTTTCAATCGATCGAAATTTCGAAACCAACATCTCGCTCGGGACATCCTCAAAAATTACAAAAATGATCCTGCTGCCCCTCTTCAACTCGCAATTCATCAAAAAGAAAATCCGCTGGCCCTCTTCGAACCTGGCATCGAGAACCATTACCACACAAAAAACCCTGGGCGGGCGCCCTTTCCGAGATCCCCAGATTACAGGCCCCCCCCAGACTACACCTTCTCCCCTGACTACACGTACCCCTCCCCAGGACTACAGGTACCCCCACCGGACTACAGGTAGCCCCTTCCCCCTCGGACTACAGGTACCCCTCCCCCAGACTACAGGTACCCCTCCGAAGCTACACGAGCCCCCCGAGGCTACAGGAATCACCGAGTTCGCTATCTCCTCCGAGCCGAAGCGGACCGCCTGGAATGTCTCCAAATGGGGAAGTTTTCAGCAGCCTTCCTGAGGTGAGGAGGCACTTATAGGCCAGCCGAGTCGGCGCTCAGGTTTCACATCCCTTTTGCGCTTGCTTCACTGTGACCAAAGCAGACAACGCAATTTAGCCGGATCTGGAAAGACTAACAATGTTTAGGATACTTGCGCGCGCGTGCGTGTGTGCGTGTGCGTGTGCGTGGAACGGGTGCGCGTGTGCGAAGGTGTGCGAAGGTGTGCGTGAGTACGTGAGCTTGCGTGTGCGCGTGTGCGCGTGCGTGCGTGCGTGCATGCGTGCGTGCGTGCGCGCGTGCGTACGCGCGCGCGTGTGTGAGTGTGTGTGTGTTTGTGTGTGTGTGTGTGTGTGTGTTTGTGTTTGTGTGTGTGTCTGTGTGTCTCTGTGTGTCTGTGTGTATGTGCGTGCTTGCGTGTGTGCGTGCGTGCGTGGGTGCTTGCGTGCGTGCGTGCGTGTGTGCGTGCGTGTGTGTGTGTGTGTGCGCGCGTGTGTGTGTGCGCGTGTGCGTGTGCGTGTGCGTGTGCGCATATGCGTGCGCGTGTGCGTGTGTGTGTGTGTGTGCGTGCAATGATGCGCGTGCAGTCCCGCGCACGTAGACATCCACGCGCGCGGAATCCCGCGCGCGTGGAACCACGCGTGCGTTGACGCGTGAACACGCGCCCTCCCAGACTACCGATACCTCCCTCCGGACTACAGGTACCCCTCCCCTGGAATACAAGTACCCCACTCTGGACTGTGGGTACCCCCCCTGACTACAAGTACCTCTCCCCTGGACTACAAATACCCTCCCCGGACGACAGGTACCCCCAGAACTATTGAGGGACACAGGGTAGAGAGAGTAGCCGAAAGCGCCGCAAGCGGGACACCCTCACCATCACCAGCATCGGCCACCCTGGCGAACAGGCAGCCTATCCCGCCATCGCCGACGCAATACTCGCTGTGTTCGCCGCTGCAGCGCCAATCTAGGACACAAGGGGTTGGGCTTGCGCTTCTTCCGCCACCCTTGGAGTACTACCATCAGGGTGTGGTAATGGCACCGAGCCCGCGGCCACCCATTGAGTTGCGAGCACCGAGTATTGGAGTTGAATGACCGCCCCCATGCGCGCGCATTGTGCACACTCCTCTGCCAGAAAGCTCAGCATGACTCCCATTCAAAGAGACAGGAGGGGAGGAATGTTTGTAGTGGCGTTCTGCGGTGTTTCATGTGGGGCCGAGATCAGCTCAATTAACTGTTGCCAGCGCAGGTACCGAAAAGTGCGTCATTGCCCTCTGGATGCATGGAATCCTGAATGTGTCTGTGCAAATATTCTCAGTGGTGCATTCTACGTGGTGCAATCATGTGATGCACACTATGATGTGCAGTCTATGTGGTACAAGCTGTAAGGTGCAACTATATGTGGTGCAGGCTGTGTGTTGCAACATGTCCGGTGCAATCTGCGCAGTGGCATATATGTGCTGCAGGCTCTGTGATACCGTGCACGTGCTGCAGGCCATGCTGCGCAGTCTGTGCGGCATCAGTGGGGTGCAAGCTCTGTGGCGCAGGCTACGTGATCCGACATACGTACATTGATGGCGCCCACCTTCCATGAAGGGAGCGAGCCGTTGAAGACGAGTGCCTGGCGTGATTTGAGGTGGATGAGGTTGGATGGCCACGGGCGCCCACGAGCGGCCACCGCGCCAAACTCGGCGGACCCGGCCAGCTCACGGGGCGCCCGAGAAGCGGCCACGAGGCGGCCACGCAGCGAACCCCTCGAGGACCCGCGCAGCGCACCAGCCGCCCACCGGGCGCCCACGACCAGCCACCCACCGGGCGCCAGGCGACACCCCGGACCCACCCGGCGCAGGGGCCGCCCCCGAGGCGCCCACGACCAGCCCCCAACCGGGCACTTGGCGAAACCCCGGCGGACCCATAGAAATATACACAGACCCCCGACGTCGCGAACTGTTCAAACGGGGATCCCCAGATTTTGAGACCCCTTCCCCGGGACTGGCTTCTCATCCCGAGTCGTTTTTGTTACCGTCCCGAGGCCCGGCGAGGGCCCCCAGGGGCCGAAAGGGTACCAACCCCTTCCGACTTGCTTTCTTCAAGACGCGAGGGGGTCTGGGAAGTGCAAGCACTGCCTGGGGATGATGAACTGTCTAACCAGCCGGCCGCTGGTGGCCGGCCGCTTGGTCCCTGAGCAGCGGACGGCGGCAAGGAGCGCCCGCCGCAAGCTTCGGGCGAGGCCGCCGGAGGGGCCTGGCCCAGGTGGGGCAGCTCATCCTCGTGCACGTCCCTGTTCGTGTCCGCCTCCCGCCGCAGGGCCTGCTCGACGATGCCTCGGGTGCTCCGCGCGCAGGCATGCTCGCGTCGCGAACAAGACACGACGGACGGTGATTTATGAATGGGCTCAAACGATAAAAAAAATGGTGATGCGGACGATTAAGCAAATAATTTCGCCGGCCTGGTTGCCCCCACAATAGGGGAGGGTGGAGCAGGCCTGCGGAGGGCGGACAATCCCGGGCTGTCTGGGGGGAGCCAGGGGGGAGCCAACGAGGCCGCCGAAAGTTTGTGAGCCATCCCATTGGAGCGCAGAGGTGTTTTGACCTCCTCTCCTCCTCTCCCTCCCTCTCCCACTCCTCCTCCTCGTCCTCGTCCTCCTCCTCATCATCCTCCTCCTCATCCTCCCTCCTCCTCCTCCTCATCCGCTTCCTTCTCCTCCTCATCCTCCACCTTCTCCTTCTCCTCCTGCTCCTGCTCCTCCTCCTCCTCCGCCTCATCCTCCTCCTGCTCCTCTCAGTCGCCGCGGTCCTCCGCGAGGATGACTGCGCCGACTAGAAGACGACGACGAAGACGACGACGAGGACAAGGATGAGGACGCGGACGATGACGCTGACGAGGACGAGGGCGACGACGACGACGACAACGACGACGACGACGGCGACGACGACGACGACGACGACGACGACTAGGACGAGGATGAGGACGAGGACCGGGACGAGGACGAGGACGACGAAGACGGACGACGAGGGCGACAACGACGACGACGCACTACGGATGCCCTATGGGGGTGGGTGGGGGGGGGCTGCGTAGGCCCGCTGCAGTCGAGGAGGAGGACGAAGACGAGGACGACGACGACGGACGACGACAACGATGACGACGACGACGACGCACTGCGGGTGACCTATGGGGGGGATGTTTCGCAGGCCCGCTGTAGTCGACGACGCCGACGACGACGACGAAGACGACGACGACGACGACGACGACGGACGACAGCGACAACGACGACGAGGACGACGACGAGGATGAGGACGTGGACGAGGATGAGGACGAGGACGAGGACGGACGGCGACGGCGACGGCGACGGCGACGACGGCGACGACGACAACGACGACGACGACGACGACGACCTGCGGATGCCCTAAAGGGGGGTGATGCGCAGGACCGCTGTAGTCGACAACGACGACGGCGAGGAGGAGGGCGACGACGACGACGATGACTACGACGAAGATGACGACGAAGACGGTGACGACGACGACGACAACGACGACGGCCACGGCAGAAAAATTGCTGGCGGCTAGATTATATAAGTCTGACCAACTCATTTATTTCGAAACCCACGGGGGGGGGGGCACTCTTTTACTCGCTTGCTCCCAATTTTGGGGGGCTGTCGAAGACCTCACTGGGCCCCGCGACCGTGGGGGGTGCAGCGTATGCCGGCCCGCTGTAGTCGACGACGACGACGACGACGACGCTGACGATGGCGACGACGAGGACGAGGACGAGGACGAGGATGAGAACGAGGACGAGGACGAGGACGACGGACGACGGCGGACAGGACGAAGACGACGACAACGACGGCGACGACGCACTGCAGATGCCCTATGGGAGGGGGGAGTGCTGCGTAGGCCCGCCCGCCCGCTGGAGTCGACAACGACGACGACGACGACGACGACGACGACGACGACGACGACGACGGAGACGACAACGACGAAGACGAAGGCAACGACGACGACGAAGACGAGGACGAGGATGAGGACGAAGACACGGTTGAGGACTACGACGACGGACGACGACGGCGGACGAAGGCGACGACGACGATGACGATGACGAGGACAAGGACGATGACGAGGGCGTCACAGCGGACCTAAAACTCCAAAACAAGAATCGTGCTGTGCGGCGCAATCATCGGAGGAGGAGAAGGAGAACTGCAGACATGGGAGGTGAAGGAGGAGAAGGAGGCGGCGGATGAGCAGGAAGATGAGGAGGAGCCTCGGGAAAGAGGAGGGGGAGGACGAGCAGCCGCAGCGGGAACTCGAGTGGAAGCAGCGGGAGAAGCAGGAGGGCCAGGGGAAGGCGGAGGAGGGGAAAGGCAAGGGGCGGCAACGGTGAGGAAGAGGTCAGATCCGGAAAAGTGGCCCGCGCTGGGGCCCGAGTGCCACTCTGAGCGACGGGAGCAGAGCCGCGACCCTAAAAGGAGGCCCACTCCGAGGAGGGAGCACAGGGTTGAAGGACCGAGAACGCTCGGATGGGAAACGCACGTCGGGCAGACCAGCTCGCCCGCATCATGTGTGCGAAAAACCATACGCGGAGGGAGGGGCAAACACTCTCAGCACAGATTCGGGGGAGAGGGGAGGATAGCTCGTACCGCAAGTGGTCTAACGATGTGTTTCTCTCCTCTTCGAAAACCCCTTCTTCCCCTTCGGGGAGGAGTTCATCACTGTTCCTTGTCAATGTACACCCCCTCCCCCATGCGACCGGCGTCCAACCAGAAACCACGAGGACACCATGCCGATCAGCCCCCCACCATCCCTGTCAAAAAACAACTCAAACCGCACTCTGCCTCTACATGTGGAGCATGCACGGCCAACCTGACGCGGCCCCCCCCACCCCCCCCCATCCCTGTCAACAAATGATGCAAATTATTGGGTCATGTTCGTGAGGCCCGCGAACACTTTGTTCCCCACATGCTTCCTGGGGTTCTGGTTTTCGTCCCTGCCGCGTCGCACCCGCGACCCTCACGTCACCTCCTCCTCCTTCTCCTTCTCACACAGCGCACCACAGCTCAGCACATCACAGCTTCGCTCAGCACAGCACAGCTCAGCACAGCACTGCACTGCACAGCATAGCACCTCAGCACAGCACGGCGCAGCTCAGCACGGCACAGCACAGCACGACGGTCGTCCAGGGCACAGCAGGCGTGGGGGTTTGTCGACACCATGGGGGGTGCGCAGGGAGTGGTCCCTGAGGGCGGCGTTTATGCGGGCCATGGCGCAGGGCATAGCAGGCGTGGCATTTTCTCGGCACCATAGGGGGTGCGCAGGGGGTGGTCCCCGAGCGCGGCGCTTATGCGGGCCATGGCGCAGAGAAAAAGCAGGTGTGGCATTTTCTCGGCACCGTAGGGGGTGCGCAGGGGGTGGTGTCCGAGCGCGGCGTCTATGCGGGCCATGGCGCAAGGCATAGCAGGCGTGGCACTTTCTCAACACCATCGGGGGTGCGCAGGGGGTGGTCCCCGAGCGCGGGGTTTATGCGGACCATGGCGCAAGGCATAGCAGGCGTGCCGCTTTCTCGACACCATAGGGGGTGCGCAGGGGGTGGTCCCCGAGCGCGGCGTCTATGCGGGCCATGGCGCAGGGCATAGCAGGCGTGGCATTTTCTCGACACCATAAGCGGGTGCGCAAGGGGGTGGTCCCTGAGGGCGGCGTCTATGCGGGCCATGGCGCAGGGCATAGCAGGCGTGGCAGTTTCTCGGCACCATAGGGGGTGCGCAGGGCGTGGTCCCCGAGCGCGGCGTCTATGCGGGCCATGGCGCAGGGCATAGCAGGCGTGGCAGTTTTCTCGGCACCATAGGGGGTGCGCAGGGGGTGGTCCCCGAGCGCGGGGTTATGCGGACCATGGCGCAGGGCATAGCAGGCGTGGCGCTTTCTCGACACCATAGGGGTGCGCAGGGGGTGGTCCCCGAGCGCGGCGTCTATGCGGGCCATGGCGCAGGGCATAGCAGGCGTGGCATTTTCTCGACACCATAAGCGGGTGCGCAAGGGGGTGGTCCCTGAGGGCGGCGTCTATGCGGGCCATGGCGCAGGGCATAGCAGGCGTGGTAATGTCTCGACACCATGGGGGGTGCGCACGGGGTGGTGTCCGAGGGCGGCGTCTATGCGGGCCACGGCGCAGGGCATAGCAGGCGTGGCAGTTTCTCGGCACCATAGGGGGTGCGCAGGGCGTGGTCCCCGAGCGCGGCGTCTATGCGGGCCATGGCGCAGGGCATAGCAGGCGTGGCAGTTTCTCGGCACCATAGGGGGTGCGCAGGGCGTGGTCCCCGAGCGCAGCGTTCATGCGGGCCATGGCGCAGGGCATAGCAGGCGTGGCACATTCTCGACACTATACGGGGTGCGCACGGGGTGGTCCCCGAGCGCGGCGTCTATGCGGGCCATGGCGCAGGGAATAGCAGACGTGGCACTTTCTCGACACCATAGGGGGTGCGCAGGGGGTGGTCCCCGAGCGCATCTATGCTGGCCATGGCGCAGGGAAAAAGCAGGTGTGGCATTTTCTCGGCACCGTAGGGGGTGCGCAGGGGGTGGTCCCCGAGCGCGGCGTCTATGCGGGCCATGGCGCAGGGCATAGAAGGCGTGGCTATATCCCGACACCAGAGGTGGTGCGCAGGGGGTGGTCCCTGAGCGTGGCCGCTATCAGAGCCGGTCGTCCAGGGCGCCACAGGCGTGGCACTTTCTCGACACCATAGGGGGTGCGCAGGGGGTGGCCACCAACATCATTCTCACACGCTTCACTTCAGCTATCATCACTGCAGCCATAATATAAGTATGTGGGGTTTCTCGGTAGCGTAATCTTTGATAGGGACGGCGAGAGTGCCAGCATAATCCCTGCCGTGCGCAGGGCGACCCATCCCTGACAAAAAAAACGATACAACATGCACCCCGCGGCTAAATCTGGATCATGCGCGGCCATCCCGCGATCACTGTCAAATTGTTTTTGACAGGAACCGCGGGGGTAGTGGCGCGTGGCCTGCTGTTCGCAGGCCCACCAGGCACAACGATGGGCATGGGTTTTCGACAAGGGTGGTGGGTGCCGACATGTTTCCCGATGTGTGCTGTCACGTGAGCAGGCGCACCTGACGTGCTCTGCACGTGCCCCGAACATGGCGCACCTCGTGCGGATGGAGTGTGCGGCACACCCGGCGCACACGGAGCACGTGGCGCATCTGGCGCAGCAGGCGTGCCTGGCACGCTCGGGCCCCAGGGGTGCCTGGCGCGCGTGGCGCCCCAGGCACGCGTGGCGCACCACGCCCCAGCGTCCCGCACCTGGGGTCGGCTTTGGTTCCCAGTAGGTGTCCATCCAAAGACGACCGCTGAACATGCTCAGGCTCGGGTGTTACGTATATGTTGGAGTGAGCTAGACGGCTTGCGGGCGGGTGGGTAGCTTGATCGCTGTTCCCTATCAATATACACCCCCTCCCCCAGGCGGCCGGCGGCTAAGCAGGAACCGTGCGGGCACCCAACGCCATCCCTGTCAAAAAAACGATACAAAAAAACACTCTGCCTCCAATGTTTGAGCATGCGCGGTCAACCCGATGCGCCCCCCCTCCCCCCCCTCCCACCACCCCTTTCAAAAAACAAGCAAAGTAGACTTTGCGGCAAAGTCTTGGGTCATGTTCGTGAGGCCCGCGAGCATTTTGTATACTCGCATACTGTCTGCTACGCACAAGGCTACCACCCCTAAGAACAAAAAACCATACAAAATGAACCTCGCGGCTGAACCTGGATGATGCGCGGCCATCCCGGGATCACAGTCAAGTGGTTTTGGACAGGGACCGCGGGGGTGGTGGCGCGTGGCCTGCTGTGCGCAGGCCCACCCGACACAATGATGGGCATTGCTGTTCGACAAGGGTGGTAGGGGCCGACATGTTTCCCGATGTGTGCTGTCACGTGCGCAGGCGCACCTGACACACACTGCGCGTGCCCAGAACGTGGCGCACATGGCGCAGCTGGAGTATGCGGCACACCCGGCGCACACGGAGCACGTGGCGCATCTGGCGCAGCAGGCGTGCCTGGCACGCTCGGGCCTCAGGGGTGCCTGGCGCGCATGGCGCCCCTGGCACGCGTGCCAGGCAGATGGATGGACAGCTACTGGGAGGGTGTATTGATCACTGGTCCCTATCAAAAAAAAACCCTCCCCCAGGCGACTGGGAGCCAACCCAGGTCCACACGGGCCCCCCCACCATCCCTTGTAAAAACAATACAAGACACACTCTGCCCCCACCATCCCTTGCAAACAACAATACAAAACCCACTCTGCCTCCAAATTCGGAACATGCGCAGCGAACCCGCAATACAGAGTACATTTGGCGGCGGCGGCGGCTGCGGCGGCTGCGGCGGGGGCAGCGGGGGCGGCGGCGGCGGCGGCAGCGGTGGCGGCAGCGACTGCGGCGGCAGCGGCTGCGGCGGCAGCGGCTGCGGCGGCGGCGATTCGGCAGCGGGGGCGGCGGCGGCGGCGGCGGCGCGGCAGCGGCGGCGGCGGGCGGCGGCGGCGGCAGCGGCGGCGGATGCGCCCCCAGTAGTTGCCCATTCAAAGACGACTGCTGCATATGCTGCGGCTCGGGCCAGGCTCGGACAAGCATTTCACCTGAGACTTCCTCTGAATTCTGGTCCCCAGGAGAGGAACGATCTTTAACACAAGACAAGCGTTTCGCTCGAGACCTGCTCAACAAATTCTGAACAACAAGGGTTTCGCTCGAGACATACTTAAACATAATTTCGCCGGCCCTACGAGACCTCGGTATTTATTGCAGATACTTTCGCCAGTCCTACAGCCGTCGATTCCCGGGGTAAATAGCTAACAGAGAGCCCTGGGCTCAGGCCCTTTCCAGGAACAAACATGAATGAGGAACAGAAATAGATGAGGAGGGGGGATAGGTCCCTGGAGTCGGTGTCGGCGCGGAGCTCGGCAGGGTCCATCCCAGGGGTCCCTCACGACCTCTTGTGCCAGGCGGCTCCGGCGCTGGCGACGAGAAGCCTCCGGGAGGCTCGGAGACGGCGAGAGAAACGTCGGGGAGGGCCGCCATCGTCTCGACGGGCCCTCCTCCGACAAGAACCTCCGAACTTGTAGTTATGGTACCCGCGGTGCGGGCAATCTGATAAGCAGTCGGACCTGGGCCAGAAGAGCATCCTTCTGGAACACGAGACCCTCCGTCGGCCAAAACACACGGACAACATCCAAGGGCACCCTCCCCAGGAGGCACGAGAACATCCAACCAGCACGAAGAGCACGAGGGCACCCTCTCCGAACCGACCTCGATCTCATTCCTCGGTTCGACTGCACATGTCCTCGGCGTCTCAGAGGTTCACCCGTGGGAGGCAGCCGGCTCACCCGTTGGAGGGCGTGACCCCCGCCAAGGGGGCGGCACGACTGAATTCCTCCAAGAACAGGCTGAGCCGGGGGACAGAGGCTTGCGCGCCGCGCGGCAGTGCCAACATTCATCCTGCCTTCCCAGGGGTTCGCGACACACGTGGTCAGCTCAGCGTGCTATCACACGGAGCGCTGGATTGAAGGAACCGAGGATTACTTTCTTGCTACGGCGGGCCTCGACCACGGACGGGGTCCACGACCCGAACAGAAAGAACGGCCCGAAAGCCAGAGCCCCTCCCGAACCCAGAGCGCCACTTGGAGCGCCTTGGCTGCAGTTTGCCACGGCGAAGGACAACCTCCGGGAGATCCAGCGTTCGAGAAGTTCTGAGGGGAGGGGGGGAGCTGCGCCTCGTGGCCGCTAGGGTAAGGTCATCACGAGCAGGGATGCCACAAGAGCCTCCCTCGTGCCAGCCGACGCACTGCGGCCGGCGATGCTGCCACCATCGCGACCTGCGCCTCTCGACCACACGCGGGGCCACGAGAGAGGCAGCCTTGCGCAAGGCCCCGGGATAAGCTCTGGCTCGCACGAGAGGCGCAGCTCGTCAGGGTGGGTCGAGAGAGCTACACCATTGAGGCCTCAGAGATCGTTGGGAGCCCGAGGCCATTTCGGTGATCGAAGACGTCCCACCCGTCCCTGCCGCCCTCGGCGACTCCGAAGGGTAGGGCCCGCAAAGGGTGTGGTTTGCGACACGCACCCCGGGGGGCAGGCGAGGACCTCGACCGAGTGCTCCGCCGCGCCCCGGAGGCGGCCCGACGAGGGCGACGCGGTGCCCCCCGAGCCCCAACCGACGCAGATCGCACACCACACCCCGGCCTGAGCAAAGCACACCCTCTGCAGTCCCCGCCGCCTGCCGGCCCCGCGCCCGCAGAGGAGGAGGAGGAGGAGGAGGAGGAGGAGGAGGAGGAGGAGGAGGAGGAGGAGGAGGAGGAGGAGGAGGAGGAGGAGGAGGGGAGGAGGAGGAGGAGGAGGAGGAGGAGGGGGAAGGAGGAGGAGGAGGAGGAGGAGGAGGAGGAGGAGGGAGGAGGAGGAGGAGGAGGAGGAGGAGGAGGAGGAGGGCTCGGAAGGCGCCTCCGCGCGCAGAGTCCGGCGGCTGGCCCTGCGCCGCCAGGGCCCTGCCGGCCGCCGCCGGCGCGGCAGCGCCTCCAGGCGCCGCGGGCGGAGCGCGCGACGGCGGCGTCGGGCAGCGCAGGCAACGGCGACGAACGACCACTACGGCGGGACACGGCAGCAGCGGGCAAGCAAGCGGGCAGGGAGGCGGGAGGGGGGGGGGGGAGGGGAAGGGAGGCGGTGGGAAGGAGGAGGGGGAGGAGGAGGAGGAGGAGGAGGAGGAGGAGGAGGAGAAGGAGGAGGAGGAGGAGGAGGAGGAGGAGGAGGAGTGGGCGGCTGCGCGCTCAGGAAGCAACTCCTGGAAGATCTTCGTAAGATCGAGCAGGGGGCTACTGAGCCCGATGGAGGGGCCAGTGGGCCGGGTCAAATCAGATTGAGCCTGCGGTTGGAATGGGGTTCTGCCAGACCCGGCCGGCTTTCGACCACGGACACACCGGCTCCAGTGCTGAATGGAAACTCCTAGGAGCTGCATCCTGAGCGGGCGGTGCCGCCGAACTCTCGAGTTCTACCATGGGTGCTGGTAGCTTCCAGGAGCTCAATCTTTTTGAAGCCACATAACGCGCGTTATGTGTGGGTGGGTGGGTGGGTTCGCTGGCACATCGCATAACACGTTGCGCGCACTACGAACAGCATACCTGTGCGCTAAACAACAGGCGCTGCTGCAACGGGGGTGGGTGAAGCGGAGGGTGTGATGTGATCTACTGGATGGGTGGGTGGGTGGGTTGACGGCCACATAACGCGCGGTATGTGTTCGAGCGAAAAAAATTGAGCTCCAGTGACTTCCCGAAGCCCCCAGCTCCTCAACAGGCACGGCCTCAAGCCCCCCACTTCCAGTGACTTCCCGAAGCTCCCAGCGCGTGCACCGCAAAACCAGGCACGATCGGCACGCGCCCTCCAGCAGGTGGACAGCGTCTGACACCCCGCAGCAGCTGTGCCCGACTGCGTCGCAGAGCCAGCTGCCCGGGGGCACGGAAGAGGTTGAGGTGGGCAGCGGCGAGGGAGCCCCCGCACGTGCTGCCCAGCCCTGTCGAATATGATCGGGTGGGCGGGACGAATTCCCCGCACGGTTCCGAGCAGCCTCCAACCTGGTATCTCGGCTGGCACCCACGACGGCGCACTCGCAACGGCCGGGGGGGGGACCATTTTGTGATCGCGAGCGACTCTGGGCGGCCCCAAGTCCTGGAGATGCCCCGAGCGGTGCGGGGCTGCCAACTCTGGATCACTGTGGCGCAAGGGTGTCGCCAGTGGCCTGCGATGATTTGGGGCCTTGCATGCCTCCCAGGAACTCTGCGAGCAGGCCGTTGACGCCTGGGCACTGGGAAGTGGATAGCGTGTCGCGCCAAGGCGCGGTGGGCCAGAACCAGCGGGGCGACGCGCTGAGCCAAAGTTCCTTACCGCACTTGTCACCGGGCAGGCCACACCCAAGCATCTCCGCAATGACAGCGTGGCGTCAGGCAAGCTCGGGGGCCTCAGCGAGCAGGGCTGCAACAACACCACAGACGGAAGCCCACAGGGTCTCGCCGAGTGCCCCCGCGGCAATCTCGTCTTCTCCCGTCTGTCTGCCCGCACCTCTTCCCCCCGTGCCCCTCAGCACCACTCTCATCGCGTCACCCGTGGCCCCACACGTTCCCTCCCCCCCCCCCGCCATCCCCCCATCGCTTCCCCTTCCATCCGGCATCCGCCGCCACCGCTCACCCCGGTGCATCCTCCATTCCCCCTCTCGACTTGACGCAATATTTCGCCCCAGAAGTGAAAAAGTATTGACTCTGGTACACTAGCGTCGCCGCCCAGAGCAGCCTCCAGCGCTCTGCCGGCTGGCCAGGTGAGGTGACGCTTCCCTGGTCGGTGGCGGTGACGTCTTCTCGGCCGGCCTTCTCCTTTCCTCTCCCTCTCTCTCCCTCCTCAGTAGTGACATTATACTGGCGAAGCTTTCGGCGACAAACCGCCAATCAAAAAATAAACGATTTCAACTAGAAATGAGTGGCGTAGCGTTGGTAGAAGCGCGGGGCGGAGGGGGAGGGCCTCCCCCTCCGCCCCGCGCCGTCCTCTCCACCTCCCTTCCCCTGCAGCATCCATCCGGGAGCCGACCCGCCACAACTGGGGGAAGAGTGTCCCGTGCCCCACGAGGGGAATCCATCGCACCCACGCTCCATCGCACCCACGAGCCATCGAGAGGGGGGGCCATCGCACCTCCCTGTGGGAACCCATCGCACCGAGGATCCATCGAGAGGGAGTGGGCCGAAAGCCATGGGCCCCCTAAGGGCGGCGGGGACGACAGCTCCCCCAGCAGGGGCGGCTGGTCGGAGGAGGACGCCACCTGGACAAGGCACCGGCCCTGGCCAGGCCCACCCTGGGCACAGGACAGGCGAGACTGGGCCACGAGGGCGCGTGCATCGGACCTGGGCCCAGAATCGGCGTGGCCAGCATCGGCGTTGGTGTGCAGTTGGCGTCCCCCGACATCGGCCGCCCCCGCACAAGAACCAGAGATGCATTAGCACGGAAGGTCCGCGCGGATGTCTGGGGCTGGCTCTGGACCTCCTTCCCGCACCCGTCCTGGCGCATGGAGCGCGTCCGGGGGCGGCGTCAGGGGCGCATTTTTCATTCGCGGCGGGGACCTATCCACATCCACCGCCTCTTGAACCGACGCACTGGGATACCCCAGTGGGCGGTGGATCTGGACATAGCTTGGCCCCCAGCCCACAGGCATCTAATTATATCCACCGCCTGCCGAGGTCCCCGAAGATCGAGCCCCAGGCGATGGCTATGGTTAGGTCGGGCATGTCCCCCTGCAGGCGGATATTGGAGGAAACATAAACAATACACCAAACAGATTGAGAAAACATATCCACAACTTTTCAAAACATCGCCCCCAGACTATTGATTTGCTACCTTTGCATATCCCTCCTGCAGAGGGGCAGGCCCGACTTAGACCTGTGGACGGGTCCCCGCCTCGGACGTGCGGGACCCGGGGAGGGGGCAGAGGGCCCGGCGCCGACGCGAGGACCTCCGCGCGCGCGCGCGTCGGCCTCCAGGCCATCTGGCAACCTGGCAGCGGGCGTCCACGGACGCCCTCCCGGGGGCCAGATCAGGGGCAGGCCCGCGGCGAACCGGAGTCGAGCCCGCGACGAGCTGCGTCGAATCCGAGTCGAGCCCGCGATTCGAACTCGAGTCGCACTGGGGAGGAACTGCAGCCGAACAGATCTGCTAGACGGGCCCCAGGAAGGTCCATCCAAATCTGGGGCGCGCAAGCATGGATTGGCGATCCGCGGATTTGGCGCGCGGTCGCCGAGTCCATGGATCGGGGGAGGTGCCCTCCCCAAAATGCGGCCGGTGCCGCCTCGCTCGGCGGCGGGAACCCGCGATTCCTCATGGAAACGGGAGCCGTCGCTGACCCACGCCCCCTCGATCCATGCTTGCGATCGCCTGACATGACGGGGGGAGGACCGCCTCGTGGGAAAGAGGGGGGAACGTCGAGCTCGCATCGGCGGCGCATCGCCGACAGAGCGGCGAGGAGCTCCCCGATAGCGAGCCCGCACGTTCCCCCCGGGATGGGCAGTCGGGCCGCCCTCGGCGAGGAGTGCGCGATGGCGGGCCGAGGCGTCCCCACAGCTGGGCCGGCCTCTCCCTATATATGTTGTGGCTGGAGGAGCTCCGTGCGGAGCTCCGAGGAGTTCTGTGTGTGCCGTTGCCTGCTGTCCGACGGTGGGTGGACCAAAAAATGCCCACACGTGTCGCGCCAAGGCCTCGAGTGATCAAGGCACGTCGGACTAGAGTGTAACCCCCCCTTGCTGACGGGCGTAGGCTGTAGGCCGCAGGCCAGGGACAACGTGTGGACACTTCAACCTTGGTTTCGGGGGGAGGGGTGCGCAGCCAGGACATTTCCCAGTTGTGCTTGTCATCATGTTGCACCGCCTTACCGCCGTGGGTGTGGACACTTTTTGTCTGGGCACCGGAGGCCCACCCCGTACGGCAGGTTTGTCTCGTGTCGACCCCGTCTTTGGTTCCTGACACCCCGGGGATCGCTCCACCCTGCACAGATCGGCAGTCTCCGCCGGGCGGCGAGCGAGGGGGGGGAAACGAGAAGGAGAAGGCCCTCTCAGAAAGTTCGAAAGCCCCCCCGGCCTTCTGAGAAGTTGTCTAAGCCTTCCCTGGCGACCAAAACAACTTCGCAGAAAACGCAAGGGTTTCTGAGAAGTTCCGCCGCCTTCTGAGAGGGCCTTCTCCTTCTCACTTCCCCCCCTCGCTCGCCGCCAAAAAAAGGAGGAGGAGTATGCAGCCTGAAGGGAGTCCGTCGCGCGAAGCGCCAACGGCCACTGAAAGGCGAGCCAAGACCGATCGGCCTCGGCTCAGCGCTCGCTCAGCGCCCACCCCAAAGCGCCCACCCGAGATCGGGATCACGGCGGGGAAGGCGCGCAAGCGCAGTGAGAGCACGCAAGATAGAATGGCGAACTCTTATAGGAAAACCCCGACAAACGAGTTATGTGAGGTTCAACCAGTGAACCTCGGGGTCATCGACTCTGAGACGCCTCTGACCAAATATGGATTCGTGTCGCTTGTGGTCGGCGGGATGCCGATTCGTATTGAAACGATGTATATGGGGCGCGGCACGATTAGAATATGGCGGAGGCGGCCAACTGGAAACCAGAGAGGACGCTTTGCCCGTGGAAATACCACCACAAGTCATACATATGACGACCGCCCCTGGAGCAACGCAAAGCTCATGCCCTCTAGCCGCCTCGGGAGGGATGTCTCCAGAATGGGGCAGGGTGCGGGCAGGACGAAAGCTTCGGTCGGCGGCGGGGCCCCCACCCGTCCCCCCGAGACGCCGCGCCTTGATTGGCGGCTCCCTCCCGAGCGAACGCGAAGGGTCTCTACGAGGAGGCTGAGGAGAGTGGAGGGAGGACGCAGCAGCAACAGGCGGCCGCGCCTCGAACTCACGGATGACCTGTGGGAGGACGTCCGCACGTGGAGCGAAACTGACGGCCCTGGCCGAGGGCGGCGTGGGGCCTGAAACGCGGGCCCTGACCATCCTCGGGGGAGGAGAGGGAGAGCGGGGCCGCGTCCTGGCGGCGATGATGCGAGCATGAACTCGCCTCAACACCTGAGAAGGGAAAGGCTCACCTCCAGACGGCTCAAGGTTCCCATCCCTCCCCGACTGCGACGGCGACGACAGATCCCCGTCCCCACCCAATATTGGACCAGGGGGAGCAGGGGCAGGCAGATCCTCGGCAGCACTATGCGACGACCGATCACACGACAAGTCACGACCTCTTGGCTCGGAGGAGTCTGCCTGCAGCCTAGCTCGAACCCTCCGAAGGTCTCTGAAAGGCGAAGCCGACCGCTCCCGCGACTGGCCAGCAGGGACCTCACACACGTTAGGTGGAGACGGAACTCCGGGCGGCTCTCGTGAGCCAGCAGAAGCAATTAAGCGCTCACGCAAAGATATCTGCACAGGGCACTGGCGACGCGCGAATATCTGACGCTGCTTGGAGGTGGCAACATACTTCGCGCACTGCAGACACCGCCAGCCCCTGCCTGACTGATAAAACTTATGAAACATATTAGCGTCGTCAGTTCTTCGGGCTTTAGCCTTAGCTCTAGCACGACGACGCTCCCGAAAACGCATTTCACCTGGGGCAACCGTGGCCCCCATAAACTGAGTGTGGACCTTGGCAAGCCATATTAGGCCTTTCCTAGCCGAACGAAAAAGCAACTCGACCCGCTTAGCTACTTCATTAGTTACGGCATGCATGTCACGGCCCTCACAGGCCGCAGAGTCGGCCCACCTGTTCCCCCGAGCTTCGTATCCCTGGCCTTTCTGATGTCCAGGCACGTGTACTATTTGGAGAGAGTCAGAAAGGCCTCCGAGATCTTCGATGCGTCGCCATATCTCACACCACAAATCTGCATTCGGACGCCGAGGATGACAACCCCAATCTGGCCCTCTCTCAAGGCCTTGCGGTAAATCAAGATAATCAGTGAATCTCCTGAGCGGGAGAATGGCAACGCGTAGAATCTGAGCAACTGCAAATAACTCTGCTCGCGGCGATGTCTGCATCGGCCCTGGCAGCGGTCCGTACACCACGAGGTCGACCATGTTGGCCCGAATCTGCGCAAAGCCCCAGCCTGCACGAGCGGCCTCTGGCCAGTAGGAATACTTTCGGCAAGCCCCATCAGAAAATACATCGCCTGTCACGGCGCTGGCGTCTCCGTATAAAACTCGCCAAACTGCGCTATCGTCACGTGGAGGTGGTGATGGCAATTCTGTCTTGGCGAGCAAACCTCTAGCCCAGAACCATGAGGAAGGAGAGACTTCGGGAAGACACCCCTGCTCATCAGCGTTGCCAAATACCTGTCTGCGCCCGTCTTCATTGGAATCGCAAACCCATGGAATATGGAAAAGATCAGCATGCGGCGCGGAGCAGCACGGGCATATAGCATTGTCGGCGTAGCCGTGCGTCGCCCGTCGTGACGGTGGCCAAAGTCCCCCAGTCACCACTGCACGTAGCGTCGCTGCTTGCTGCTTCGTTAGAACGTAAGGTTTTTTCTGGATCCTCTTCCTCTAGCGTCCTGCCCAAGACACTCACAACAGGTGCCAGCCAGTATCCTGCCAAAGACTTCGGATCTAGGTCACTGTGATCGCGATATGGGCGACGTGCCCAATCAAGGCAAAACCGCCGCTCAGCAGCTTCTCGGGCCAAATCGCGTACGGATAGTGGAGACTTCGTGAGAAGATCGAGTTTGTCACCACGATCGGTTTGCCAGGAGGAGGAGGAGGAGGGGGAGGAGGACGAGGGGGAGGAGGAGGAGGAGGAGGAGGAGGAGGAGGAGGAGGAGGAGGAGGAGGAGAGGGGAGAGGAGGGAGGAGAGGGGAGGAGGAGGAGGGGGAGGAGGAGAGGAGGAGGGGAGGAGGAGGAGGAGGAGGAGGAGGAGGAGGAGGAGGAGGGCCTTCTCCTCCTCACTTCCACCCTCGCTCGCCGCCGCTCCAGCGGCCCTGCGGAGGGTGGCGGTGGAGAGCCCTGCCGCTGCGGCGCGTGGCGCGCCCGCCGCTCGGCCGCCGCCCTCTCGAGGCGGATCGCACCGCATCGCCGCTACATCGCCGACGCACCGGCGACGCATCGGCGATGCATCGGCGAAGCATCGGCGACGCCGGCGTGGAGAAGATCGGGATCGACATCGAGCCGCATCGCCGATGCATCGACGATGCGGCGCGATACTCCGACCCCATGTGGGAGGCCCAGACTGCCGCTGCGGCGAGTGGCGCGTCCGCCGCTCGGCCGCCGCCCTCTCGAGGCAGGGCGAAGGGGCCGTCGCGGGGCGGCGGGCAGCAGGTCGCGGGGGCGGGCGGGAGGCGGCCTGGCCGCGGGCGTGGGCCCCTGGCGCTGGCGTGCAGCATCGGGCCCGCGTGCCACCTCCGCCGCAGGGCGAGCAGGAGGAGGAGGGGGAGGAGGAGGAGGAGGAGGAGGAGGAGGAGGAGGAGGAGGAGGAGGAGGAGGAGGAGGAGGAGGAGGCGGAGGAGATCGACTGCAGAACTGATTTGCCCCGAAATCGAAGCGTTCGTAGAGTCTACGAAAGATTCAGGGAGAGTGCTCTGTAGATCTGCGGAACATGATACGCACGCTCGTCGCAGGCTCGGCCACGAAGAAATGCTGGGGCAGATCGATTATGTAGTCCATCTCCTGCTCGAGCAGTGGACCTGGGCCGGGCCCAAGCATCACCGAGGCAGCGGCGGTCCTCGGGAAAGACCTCTTGGGGGTCCCCCTGGCGGGCGCACGCCTGGCGTGGACTGCGGCTCCGTGGGCCTCGCGCGTGGGCGACAGCCCCGCGCATATCGGGGAAGGTGTGCCCCCGAAGCAGGAGGCCAGTGCCGCCCGATGTGGCGACGGGGCGCGCTGATTCTGCACGGAACGGGTACCGTCGGATCGGGGCTTAGGTCGGGCGTGTCCCCCTACAGGCGGATTTTGGCCGAACCAAAAAATACTCCAAACAGATTCAAAAATAGTGAGAAAATCGTCCCCAGACTATTTTTTGCTGGACTATGTTTGAACATCCTCCTGTAGAGGGACAGGCCCGACTTCAACCCAGGCCAGAAGAACATCCCTCAGGAACACGAGACCCTCCGCCGGCCAAAACACGGAGAACATCCGAGGGTACCCTCCCCAAGATGCACCAGAACAGCCGACAAACACCGAGAACACTGGGGCACCCTCCCGGAACCGACCTCGACCTCATACCTCGATCTCCGACCGTCCTCCATGCTTGCGCTTCCTTGACACGCGCGACAGTGGCACGCCCGGCAGCACTGCCGCGGTGGGCGAGAGGTCCCCGCCCGTTGCGTCCGCTCGCGGCACCGCTCGGGAAGCCCGCCCCCCCCCCTCGGAGAGCGCAGGAGCGGCAGTCGGAGGGCGCCAGGAGCGCATTTTGTTTTTCTCGCGGCCATAACGGGCGTTATGGGGGGGATGGGAGGGAGTATCGTGGCGCCCCCCCCAGTCTGTGGTGCTGGACGCACTGCGACAGTGCCGGGGACGCACTGGGGAGGGGGGAGCGTTACGTTACGGGGGGAGGGGTGGGGGGGGGAGGGGAGGGGGCCTGGCGCGCGTTGTGGCCCAGAGGGTATAACAGAAACGCTCTCCAGCTGTACCCCTACGCCGAGCCTGGCCAGGCCCATCCTGTAGGACCGACATCCGTGCAATACGCCCTCCCGGCTCGGCGAGGGAGGCAGGACTACATGCACCACCCCTGGGCCGAGGACTGGCCCGGCCGGGCTCGGTGCAGGTGCAGAATCAGTGGACGCCCTCCCCGAAGAGGTCCTGCGCACGGCTCCGCTCCGCTGGACACCTCCCCGGGGGGGGGGGCTCAGGAAAAGCGGCGGCGGGTGCACGCCAGGTACGAGACAGCGATGCGAGCACCGGGCGACCCAGAGAAGACCGAGAGAGCGGGGAACGAGAAGAGTCGAGGGATGAGGTCAGAGGAGCAGCGACAATGCTTCACGCAAGACGACGACGCAACACGGCAGAGCTGGGAGCAAAAATGCGTTCGGGAGCTCGACGGATCTAGGCATCCAATATCTTCATTTTTCCAATGCAGGGTCCACGGAAGTCCTGACCTTTTTCCCGGGAGCCTGCTGTTCATCCCGAGTCGCTTCGTTGACAACCCAGAGCCCGGCGACGTCCCCCAGAGGCCGCAGCGGGCGAAAAATCTGCGGAGATGGGTATCGACTGGCTACTTCTGTGTCGGGCCCGAGGTGGGCAAGGAAACGGGCAGATGGCGCGAGATGTTCTGTTTTGGTGCAAGGCTGTTCCAACAGGGGCTCAAACAGCCCGATGATTCGGTGCGAAACTCTACAACGCCAAGCGCGACGCCCTCAAAGCATGCAGGTCGCCCCATGCAGGTCGCGCGTGCTGCATAGAATAACTCCCAAGGATGGCCAACGAACCACAGGCCCCTTGACTGACCAGTGGGCTGGTATCTGCTAGGTACTCGGCCACGCCTGGCTCGGTTGACAGTCTCTCGCCACACGGTTGGCAGGTTTGGTATGGGGAACCTATCAGGACAAAAACGGGAAACGCCACTTCTCTCAGAGTGCGTGCGCACGCGCGCACGGGACCTCCTTTTCTCCTCCCCCAATTCCTCCTCCAACTCCAACTCTTCCTCCTTCTCCTCCTCCTCCTCTTCCTCCTCCTCATCGTCCTCCTCGTCGTCGTCCTCCTCCTCCAACTCATCCTCATCCTTCTCCTCCACCTCCTCCTCCTCCTCTTCCTCTTCACCTCCTCTCCTCCTCCTTCCTCCTCCTCCTCCTCCTCGAATTTTCCCTCCTCCCCCTTCAACCTCCTGACCCACCTCCTCCTCTTCCTCCCTCCTCCCCCACCACCTCCTCCTATCCTCCTCCTATCCTCCTCCTCGTCCTCCTCCTTCGTCCTCCACCTCCTAACCCCCCCCTCCTCCTCCTCCTCCTCCTCCTCCTCCTCTCTCCTCCTCCTCCTCCACCTTCTCCTCCTCCACCTCCTCCTCCTCTCCACCTCCACCTCCTCCTCCTCCTCCTCCTCCTCCTCCTCCTCCTCCTCCCTCTCTTCTTCAGTTTGTATTAAAGCATTCATAGCTTTAGCTGTGTATCATTGTTACTTGTATGGTGTGTATCATTATTATTCTTATCAGTATGATTACTGTTGTTCGTGGCATGAAGACTCCTCATCCTCCTGGTATGGTTGATATCATTATGGCTAATATTACTCCTCCTCCTCCTCCTCCTCCTCCTCCTTCACGACCTCCTCCTCCTCCTCGTCCTCCCCCTCTCATCCCCCCCATACCCTATCCCCCTCCCCTTCATGTTCCTCCTCCTCCTCATCATCAGCACATCATCACACCATCAACACCAGCATCAACACATCATCAACATCATCATCATCATCATCATCATCATCTACATCACATATCATCATCATCAATCATCATCATCATCATCATCATCATCATCATCGATCATCATCATCATCATCATCATTCAAAAGCACAGCATCATCAGCATCATCATCATTATCATCAGCATCATCATCATCATCATCACAAAATCATCATCCTCCTCATCATGCATCATCACAGCAGCATCAGCATCATCATCATCATCAGCATCATCATCGTCATAATCATCAGCACAGCATCAGCATCAAACATCATCATCATCATCCTCATCATCATCACAATCACCATCACCATCACCATCACCATCAACCAACATCATCATCATCATCAACAGCAACAGCATCAGCAACAGCATCATCATCATCATCATCAACATCATCATCATCATCACTATCATCAACATCATCATCATCAAACATCAGTCATCAACATCAACATCATCATCAAACCAAATTCATCATCATCATCATCATCATCATCATCATCATCATCATCATCATCATCATCATCATCATCATCATCATCATCATCATCATCATCATCATCATCATCATCATCCGCCTCCCCAACCTCCTCCTCCTCCTCTTCTTCCTCCTCCTCCTCCTCCTCTTCCTACTCCCCCTCCTCCTCCACCTCCCCCTCCTCCCCGTCCTCCCCCTCCTCCACCCCCCCACCCCCCTTCCCGCTTCCACATGCCCTTCCCCCTCCACCTCGCCACCCCCTCCTCCTCCCTATCCCCTTCCATTTCCGTGTCCTCCTCCTCCTCCTCCTCCTCATGATTTTCCTCCTCCTCCTCCTCGCCTCCTCCTCCTCCTCCACCACCTCCACCACCTCATCCTGCTCCTCCTCCTCCTTCACGTCCACCCCGGTTTCCTCATCCTACCACCTCCTCCTGCTCCTCCTCCCTCCTGTTCCCCCTCCTCCTCCTCCTCCTCCTCCTCCTCCACCTCTCCTTCCCTCCTCCACCTCTTCCTCCCCCCCCATCCTCACACCACCTCCGCCTCCATCATCATCCCCCTCCTCCTCCTCATCCCTCATCATCCTCCTCCTTCCTCCTCCTCCTCCTCCTCCTCCTCCTCCCCCTCCTCCTCCTCCTCCGTCCTCCTCCTCCTCCTCCTCCTCCTCCTCCTCCACCTCCTTCCCACCTCCTCCTCCTCCTCTATCCTCCCCCTCCTCCTCCCCAACCTCCTCCTCCTCTCATCCTCATCCCCCTCCTCCTCCTCCTCCACCTCCTCCTCCACCTCCACCTCCACCTCCTCCTCCTCCTCCTCCTTCTCCTCCTCTTATTCACTTTGTATTAAAGCATGTCTGGCTTTAGCTGTGTATTATTATTACGTACATGGTACTCCCCATCATCCTCCCACTCCTCCAGCTCTTCCTGGAGTCCCTCCTCCTTCACCTCCCTCCTCCTCCTCGTCCTCGTCCTCCTCCTCCTCCTCTCCTCCTCCTCACCGCCGCCTCCAACCACCTTTTCCTCCACCATCTGCTCCCCTACCTCTTCCCAACTCGTCTTCCTCCTCCTCCTCCTCCCTCCTCCTCCTCCTCCACCACTCCTCCCTCCTCTTCCACCCCCTCCTCGTCCTCGTCCTCTTTCACCTCCTTCACATACACCTCCTCCTAACACCTCCTCCCCTCCTCCTCCTCCTCCTCCCAATTCACTCCTCCACCACCACCCTGCTCTGCTCCTGTTCCAACTCCTGCCTCGTGATCCTGCCTCGTCCTCTCTTCCTCCTCCTGCTCCTCCTCCTCCTCCTCCCCCCCCTCCTGCTCCTCCTCCACCTCTTCCTCCTCCTCCTCCTCCTCCTCCTCCTCGTTCTTCCCCCTCCACATCATCACCATAATCAAGATCAGCAGCCTCATCATCAGCATCAACAGCATCAGCCTCACCGTCCTAATCGTCCACATTGTCATCACCAAAAGAAGTATCGGCATCACCACCATCACCCCCGTCATCACCCTACGTAAGCATCATCCGCATCAGTATCATCATCAGCACCACCATTGTCATCAGCAGCAGCAGCCCGAGCATCATCACCACCACCACCACGGTTATCAACATATTCAGCATATCCACATCAGCATCGCCATCCGCATCATACACACTTGCAGCACCATCAGCGTCAGCATCACCATCATCAGCATCAGTATCATCATCACCACGACGACCACCCACTGCATTACCAACATCATCAGCAGCATCACCATCAACACCACCATCATCATCATCATCATCATCATCATCATCATCAGCATCATCATCATCATCATCAGCATCAGCATCGGCATCAGCATCATCATCATCAGCATCATCATCAGTATCATCATCATCATCATCATCATCATCATCATCATCATCGTCACCATCATGAACAACACCAGCAGAAGCATCAGCACCAATCACCAACACCACCAACATCATCATCGGCGTCTCAAGTGTCACCACCAGCAACACCATCATCATCAGCAGCATCAGCATCATCATCATCACCATCATCAGCAACATCATCATCATCATTATCGCCATCCACATCAGTATCAGCATCATACTCCGCAACACCATACTAAACCACCCCATCACAACATCTTCAGAAGTACGACCGTGATGATACGCATCACCATTATCATGATCATGATGATCATCAGCACCAGCATCCTCCTCATTGCCCTCACGATCCCCATCATCACCATCGACATCCTCCGCATCATCATCCTCGTGCTCCTCCTCAATATCAACACCCTCAGCATATCCGTCGTCCTCATCCTCCTCCCCCACGTCCTCCTTTTCCTCCTCCCCCCTTGTCCTGATCCTCCTTCTCCTCCTCCTCCTCCTCCTCCTCCTCCTCCTCCTCCTCTTCCCCACCCCTCCGCATCATCCTTCCACCTTCCTCGTTCCTGATGCCCTCTGCGTCCTTCCTCCTTTCTCCATCCTGACTCCTCTTTCCTCCTTCCTCCTTCCTCCGTCCTCCTCTTCCTCCGTTTCTCTCCTCCTCCTGCTCCTCCTCCTTCCCTACATCCTCCACCTCCTCCTCCACCTCCACCTCCACCACCTCCTCCTCCTCATCCTTAATCCTCCTCCTCCTCCTGCTCCTCCTCCTGCTCCTCTCACCTCCTCCTCCTCCTCCCACTGCTCCTCCTCCCTCTTCCTCCTCACTCCTTCTCCTCAGCCTGCTCCTGCCCATACCTTCCTCTTCCTCCTCCACCTCCTCCTCCTCCTCCTCCACCTCCTACTCCTCCTCATTCTCTTCCCCTCCACAACTAGGACCTCCTCCTCCACCTCCCGTCCTCCTCCCCTCCTCCTCATCCATCCTCCTCCTCCTCCTCCTCCTCCGTTTCCTCCTCCTCCACCTCCTCCTGCTCCTCGTCATCCCTTCCCCTCGCACGCCCTCCTCCTCCTCCTCTCTCCATCCTCCTCCTCCTCCCTCCTCCCTCCTCCACCTACTCCTCCTCCTCGTCATCCACACCCTACCTCGCCCTCCTCCCCCCCCTCCTCCTTCTCTCCCTCCTCCTCCTCCACCTCCTCCCCCCATCCTCCTCCTCCTCCCCTCCTCCTCCTCCTCCTCCGCCTCCTCCGCCTTCTCCACCTCTTCCTCCTCCTCCTCCTCCTCCTCCTCCTCCACCTCCACCTCACACCTTCTCCTCCCTCCTTCCCCAACTCCGCCTCCTCGCCCCTCCTCCCCTCCTCCTCCTCCTCCCCCGTCTCCTCCTCCCCCTCCTCCTCCTCCTCATCCTCCTCCTCCTCCTCCTCCGAAAGCAGACCCGATGTAGGCCTGGGCGGTTTTGGTGTTTTTTCTAGAAGAAGCAAGGCGCCGACAAAATCTGCTCGTGAACAGTCGCAGCCTGCGCCTTCTGCACATGGGCGGGCTGCGGAGAAGCAAGGCGCCGACAAAACTGCACGCGAGAGGTCGCAGCCTGCGCCTTCTGCACATGGGCGGGCTGCGCGCTCTGATTTGGCGACGTAATGCATGCAGCCTCTCTCCCTGCGAACAGACTGGCCAAACTCCTGGAGCAGGTCGTTGCCTGACCTCCGCATGCGCCACACCCAAGCCCACAAGTACGAGCGGCAACGCTCCCAGTCTGAAGTGTGGACGCTGTCTGGGATGCTGTCGCGCATCTCAGGCCAGAGGCCATCGCAACACTGCGTGCCTTTTTCCAAATGAAGAGTCTCGGTGCGCCCGTTCGGGCGCACGACGCGCACGCGGTCGACGACGGCCCACTGTTCTGCATCGTGAGAAACTATGCCGTGCGATAGCTTCAGATGCTTATAATGCAGCTTGAAGCGGTCAGCATTGTAACGAGGAGGGTCTTTGCTCTTGTCGCTGTAAGCAGCACGGCTTTTCGGTGCTACGGACTGGTACGCGCCCGCGCCATCCGTCAAAAGCGTGAAATTGCCAGGCACGAGAACCCTAGAGAGGATCTCGTCGCACTCGGGCCCACTGAGTGAAACGCCGCTTCCCCCAGCGGCGCAGGTCCGCTGGGGCAGCTCGAAAAACATCGCCAGTTGGCGCTGTCCCCGAGGACACACGCACATGAATCGGTGATGTAATATGCGGTAACGCACAAAAGGGTGCTCGCCGCACGTCGTATCACAACAATCTCGCGGGCAAGTCACGCGGCAAGCGCGCATTGACGCCTCGTCGGCCTCAACGAGGCACCCGCGAGGCCACACAATGTCGTCCTGCTCAGCCTTGGCAACGCGGGCGCAGATGGACCGCACGACACTAGTGATGCGCTGGGCTGCATTCTTCGATATCCCCACCTGCACAGCCATTTCGTCCGACGACTCGTATCCCGAGGCATGCTGGGTTGCTGCATGGGCGATGGCGAGGAGGGTGCGGGTGGTGTTCACGGAGCCCTTGTTGAACAACTCCTTCAGAGGGCCCTTCGGGTCGAGGTTCGACTCGCGCCTCTTGAGGGGCGAACAACGCACGCCCATGCCCGTACAACGCGCACCCATGGGCTCCCCCTCCCCACCCTCCGTCTATCCCGTGGGTATGGGCGTGCTTTGTTCGCTCATCGCATCTGGCAATCCCAATTGGAACAGCGCCAAATCGGATAATCCATTTGAGGTATGCTGAAGCCCGCCACCTGGATGTCCTTGTCCGACTGGCCGCCCCGAAGCTTCAACTCCATTGTGCCGCACTGGCACGCCGTGCACTCGCCCCCCAGATCTGGTAGCACCCCGATCTCTATCATGATACGCGCGAGGAGCTCGGGACTGATGCGCGCCATGTCGACCACGGCGATCCTCTTGGATATAGGTAGCGCGGCGAGAGAAGGGCGATCAACTTGTTTCTGATTCGGAGGAATGTAGGATGGACCAGGGGCCTCTTTTTTAGTTGCCGCCCTACCCTTCTTCATCATCGACTTCTTGCTGATGCGGCTCCCCTTCGTCAACGACACCCTGCGAATGCCAGACAACTTCTTAGAATGGAGAGTCGCGCAAGCGGGCTTCCGTTTCAACGAAGCCTGCTGCACGCGGTGCGCACGCTTGTGCTTGTCCGCCTGGGAGGCCTTGCCACCATGAGGCATGATTGACGAGGCGAACGGCAATGGGAGTGGCGAGGCTGCAATCCAAAGCCAAAGTTTGAACCAGAGTGCTACGGACCGAACACCATGATCGGCAAACACATGGACTACAATTGCGACCGCGCGCAGTCGCAACTTTGACCGCGGCAAAAGTAAACAAGCGTTGTTGGCCTTTTTTCAGTAGAGCATGGCCATCGCAACGCCCTGCCCCGTTCACAGGCGCTGCCCCCGTCCCCGATATGCACAAATTAGGTCTCGTGCGTCCCCGACGGCGCCTGCACGGTTGCGCCTCGCTGGGGGCGAGGGTCGGGGAATCATCATGCGCACTGCTGCATCGTGCGCATCGCCATCACGGCGGAGGCGGCGAAGGCGCAGCGCTGGCGCCGCCTACTGCCTACTCAGGCACCCCGAACCTGCCACCAATTGCATTCCTCGGCACGCACGCCCTCAGGCATGATATGCCACGAAACGTGGCCCGTGTGGCAGGCGCGCACATCACCGTCGAACACGATGAATCCTCCGAGGAAGACGAGAACGGCCACGGCGTGCCCCGTCACCCCAGGCGCAGAGCCGTACGATGCGATGTAGCGGCCTGTGGGCACGGCGCAAGCTCCGCGGATGGACGCACGGGCGATCACGCACCCGTCTCCAGCGATCATGGCCTCGGCATCGTTGATGCTGAACGGCCCATCCTGGGCGTGCGGAACGTTGAATCCGAGGGCGTTCAGGGCGTCGACCATGCAACAGTTCTTGAAACCTGCACCGAAGAGGCCGTCGCCCGTGCCATGGGGCGCCTCTTCGTCGCTGTCATCGATGATCAGCGGCGGGCCGCCCGAGGGCGCCAGTTTGGCGAAGACGCCTGGCTCCAACTTGACGGGGCGAAGATTCCCGCTGTCCGAGGCCGCCCCTGGTCGCGCGGGGGCGGGCATGCCCGCCTCCGCTTCCGCTTGCTCTGACATGATCCCCAACGCTGCCGCGGCCTCCTCGTCGGCATCGGCGGCATCGAACACGGCGCGCGCGCGCCGCGCCGATGGTGAGTCCTCGCTGGAAGCGCCGCCCGGGTCGATGTCTCGAGGACAAGACGCAAAAAGCTTATTGAAGCTCTTCGCGGCCTTCTTGGGCGGGCTCAAGAGGTCGATGCTCTCGCGGTCGTGCGCCCTCGCCAAACCGCCCAGGTACTTGGCCATCTCGCGGTCCCTGTCGACCTTGTCCTGTGAGTCCACTGGGCAGCCGCCGCGCGGAAGGGCCGCGCGCGGCGGCGCATCTGTGCTCTCGCCCATCAGAGGGGGAGGGGCCGCGCGCGTCGGCGCCACCGCTCCCTCGCCCATCGGAGGGTAGAAGAAGCGGTCTGGCGCCTGGGCGTCGAACAGCGTAGGGCCTCGCACTGTGACGGCTGGCTGCACTGCCTCGCCTCTTGCAAGCCTCCGCATGAATGCCTGGCCCCACTTGAAGTCGATCTCGAAGTTAGGCGGCTTGTACGTCTGGTCCTTCTTGTACTTCTTCACGGTGTCTCTGCTTTCGGGCACGAACAGGTCGGGCTGGGCTGGGTTCGGCCAGGCAAAAAACGGCACCGACTCCTTGTCCGTGGAAGCCAGGCGGAAGTAAATGCGCTTGTCCGACAGGAGGACAACGCGGCTCCTCGCGAGGTACGCCTCCGCGTCTGCCATCTCGAACGACCCCCGCGCGTCGCGGGGAAAGTTCGCCTGGATAATGCGGACGAAATCGTCAAAGGAGATTGCCTCGGCTCCAGGCCGAACGGGCTGGACGCGGGCCTCAAAATCCTTGCCGTAGGCGTTCACGCAGGATTGCCGCGCCTGGTTCATCATGAACTGCGCGCCGCCCCATCGAGCCCAGAGCAAGGCGTCCTCTTCGGCCGGGTCGTGGAACGCCTTGACGTCGTCTGTGCCCCACTTCGACATCACCGTGTCGTCGGCAATCGCGGGCTTGAAGAGGCTCCCTGGCTCGAGGCGAAAGAAATCAATCCTCTTGGAGGTGACGACGCTCGGCTTCAGGTCAGAGCGGCCGTGCTTGTCGATCTGGTAAGCCGAGATGGCGAAGCAGGTCGTCTTAGAAGCGGACGACTTCCCGACGCGAGTCTTCCCGACCCACATGATCGAATGCACATCGTGAGTGCGCAGTGCGGGGGCAATGATGTTGTTCAGGATCGTCGGATGGAACTGCCTCAAAGTGTGGCACCACGACATCAACGTCCGCGCGCCCACGGTGCCGTTGGCGTAGTTCCGCAAGCTCTCCTGCGAGGCTGCCAAACGGACGCGCGCCCGAGCACCTCCCCTCAAGCTGGCGCGACGATCAGGTCTGCGCCCAGCGCGAAGGGGACGCGCTCTACGCCGCGCGTCCGTTTAGCCGCCTGGTCCTTGACATCCCCAGGCGTCCACCCGAAGATCGGACTGCTCTCGAGGTGGATCTGATCATCCGTCCACTCGACGAATTGGTTCTGGGCATTGCTCCGTGGTCCATGATCGCGAATGAAGGCGTAACCAGCCGTTCGAGCAATCCTGTCGTAAGTGCCCGCTTCAGCTGCCTTCTTCACGGACGGCTGCACGAAGTATCGGTACTGCACGCCCCCAAGGCGGTCCATCATGAAGTGGAACAACTTGCGAACTTTCTTCGCGTCAGAAGTGCGGCCCCAGTGGATCGTCAGCGGCGCGCCCACGATGAACGCATCTTTCACCAAGTCCACGCGAATACTGTCGTCGAACTTGATATACTTCAGCACAGACTGCACCCCATCAGGGTCGGTGGGCAGAACGTAGATCTGCATTGTGCACGCCAGCTCTCCCGTGTCCTTCTTCGGCTTGAACGGAGACGGCAAGGACGCGTAGTCGCCGCGGCGCATGATGTCGACCATGTCCACAGCACTTGTGTCGGGAAGCTCCTGGCACTCCGTTCCAATCTTGATCCAATCCACGACGTGCTTCACTTGTACCACGTTGTCGATGTCTCTCAGTGGCATGTCTCGGAGACGATAGCAACCAGGCGGGTCTGATTCGAAGCGCGTGGGCTTCTCGAGCCGACTGTACGGGTTCAGAGTGTCCATGCAGCCCCAGGCCTGCGCGACCTGCTCGGTGGCGGACTCGTCCCCCGCGATCATCTCTCCCGGAGACTTGACGCCCCCCGCCACGAGGTTCGCCATGATCGCAACGAGACGCGATGCAACGTTGACTGCGAGGCGCACCTGTGGTCTTGAGCCAACGCAAAGCTGCGGGCTACAGCAATGGGAAAAGATAACGGACTGGGGCATCCAAAATCTGGATCCCCCCAATCAGCGGGCTCTCTCTCTCTCTCTCTCTCTCTGTCGCTGTCGCCGTCCCTGTCTCTTTCTCTGTCTCTGTCTTTGTCTCTGCGTCTGCCTCTCTCTCTCTCTCACTCTCTCTCTCTCTCTCTCTCTCTCTCTCTCTCTCTCTCTCTCTCTCTCTCTCTCTCTCTCTCTCTCTCTCTCTCTCTCTCTCTCTCTCTCTCTCTCTCTCTCTCTCTCTCTCTCTCTCTCTCTCTCTCTCTCTCTCCTTCTGCGGGTGTGTGTTTTTTGGCTGTCGCTCCAAAGGCCAGGGCGGGGCTGCTAGTCGAGGCCGCGCGCGGCGCACGTCAGCCCAAGTCGTTGGCGTGGCCGCGGGGCGGGCCGTGGCGCGCCAAGCGCGCCGCTTTCTTGGCCGCCCAAGGAGGCAAGTGGTACTTCATGTGCACCTGGAGAGTCCGCCACCAGCTCTCCCAAGGAGCTGTGGCCTCCTCGAGCGCCTTCTCGGCCTTCTCGGTCGCCTTCTTGGCCTTCTGAAGCTTTCCCTCCGTCTTCTCCAAGGAAGCCTGCGTCTCGCGCAGCTCCGCCCGCGCGTCCTTGAGGGCGGTCGTCTTCTGCTTGAGCTGCTCCTTGCAGTGGTTGGCAACCGCCTCTGCCGCTGCGGCTTTGTGTTGGGCGGTGTACATATTCCTGTAGTGCTGGTTGGAGCGGCGTGACCGCGCGTCCAGGACGCTCTCAAGGTCGCGCAACTTGTCCACCAAGGGTTTGCGAGCTGCGGCGCGCGCCCCCCTCACCAGCTTGGCCACAGCTGGTTTGTTGCCGAGGTCGTGATCTCTCTTCGCGGCCCTGCGTACCTTGTTGCTGTGCAGCTTCTTCTCGTAAGCGGGTGCCCCCTTCTTTGGGTTCCCCATGGTGTCGCGAAGCACGGAGCGCGGAACCAATCAAACCTTGAGCCAAAGCGGTTACGGATGGTCGAAGCTTGCTCGTGCCGCATCCGCTGGGGGGCTCTGTCATTCGGTCGGAGGGTTAGCAAACACTGTAAAAAACAGGTGTTCCAGGTCGGAGGGTCAGCAAACACTGTAAAACACAGGTTTCTCAGGTTTTTCAGGTTTTTGCGCATCCATCCACCTGGGAGCGCATAGATCCACCAAAACCTGAAAAAAAAACCAATGTTTTGCTGCGGTTTCTCGGCCTCTGACCTGACAAAACCTTTAAAAAAACAGGTTTTTCAGGCCGGAGGGTTGGCAAACACTGTAAAAAACAAGTTTTTCAGGTTTTTCAAGTTTTTGCGCATCTTTCCACCTGGGCGCGCATAGATCCCCCAAAACCTGAAAAAAAAACCTGAAAAACCTGTGTTTTGCAATGGTTTCTCAGCCTCTGACCTGAAAAACCTGTTTTTTACAAGAGATTCTCTACCTCTGGCTTGACAGGAGGCGCCACGAGCGCAATCGAAAGGACGAACTGAATTGATCAGGCACTCTCCTCCTCCTCCCCCTCATCATTCTTCCTCCTCCTTCTCCCCCTCCCCCTCCCTCCTCCTCCTCCCTCGTGGTTGGGATGTTCGCCCCACGAGGGCTCTCGAGGGTTAAAACTGAGGGGCCCTCGTGTCGTCGTTTTCCCCCGCCGTCGCGGGGGTATGTTGCTGCCAGTCCTGGCTGGTAGAGGGCTGGGGGAGGTCCCCGCGAGTCCGCCTTTGTTTTGGAATGGTGGAGTCGCTCTATACTGTTCCTCTTCTTCAGGCAGGTCTCGTTCAAAGCCTGAGGTGGGGCCGCCCTGGCCCCCAGCTTAGCCGCCGCGTGTTCGTGTACCTCGTCGCGCTGCGCCACGCCGCCTCGTACCCTCACCTCGTACCCTAATCCTCCTCCTCCTCCTCCTCCTCCTCCTCCTCCTCCTCCTCCTTCCTCCTCCTCCTCTCCCCTCCCCCTCCCCCTCCCATCCCCCTCCTCCTCCTCCTCTCCTCTCTCTCCTCCTCCTCCTCCTCCTCCTCCTCCTCCTCCTCCTCCTCTCCTCTCCTCCTCCTCCTCGCTCCTATTCCCTCCTCCTCCCTCCTCCGCCTCCGCCTCGCCCCTCCTCCTCCTCCATCCTCCTCCTCCTCACTCCTCCTCCTCACTCCGACTCCGCTCCGTCCTCCTCCTCCCTCCTCCTCCTCCTCCTCCATCCTCCTCCTCCGCCTCCTCCTCCTCCCATCCTCCCTCCTCCTCCTCCTCCTCCTCCTCCTCCTCCTCCTCCTCCTCCTCCTCCTTCCTCCTCCTCCTCCTCCTCTCCTCCTACTCCTCCTCCTCCTCCTCCTCCTCCTCCGCCTCCTCCTCCCCTCGCTCCGCCTCCGCCTCCTCCTTCCTCCTCCTCCTCCTCCGCCTCCTCCCCTCCTCCTCCTCTCTCCTCCTCCTCCCCTCCTCCTCCTCTCTCCTCCCTCTCTCCTCCTCCTCCCCTCCTCCTCCTCCTCCTCCCCGTCCTCCTCCTCCTCCTCCTCCTCCTCCCCTCCTCCTCCTCCTCCTCCTCCTCCGTCCTCCTCCTCCTCCTCCTCCTCCTCCTCCTCCTCCTCCCCTCATCCTCCGCCTCCCTCCTCCTCCTCCTCCTCCTCCTCCTCCTCCTCCTCCTCCTCCTCCTCCTCCTCCTCCTCCTCCTCCTCCTCCTCCCTTCTCCTCCTCATCCCTCCTCCTCTTCCCCTGGCCTCAGAAGAGGAAAAGCTACCGATACCGCTACCTTATGTTGCATCCTCGGGGGACTTTGTCTGTCCCGTCGCGGCCTTATCAGCGTCGGTGCCGTGTCGACTCCGTGTCAAACTCGTAAGATCCGTGTCGAATCCGGGCCGAATCCGCAGCGAACCCACGCCAGATCCGCGTCGAGTCCGCATCGGGCCCGCGTCGGGCACAAGAAAAGACACCAATTTGGGGGACAGGCGAGGTCCCCCGAAAATGTATCATAAGAGATGGGGTTGATGGATCGCGACACAGCGGCGATGCATCGGCGACGTTGACGTGGAGAAAATCGGGCTCCGCGTGGCGGGTTCCGGAAACCCTGGACCCCAAAATGTTGTCATCTCTTGAAGGGCGCATTTTTCTTCCGCCGCCCTTCCGCCTGCATCCACCGTCGGAGGCGACATCGTTTTACTTCCGCCAGCTTCTGCCGCCGTCTTCCGCCGATGAAGAGATGGC